TAAACATATGGATTTCCATGTTTGAAGATAGAAACAAGTTAGATACATTTATTAAAAAATAAGGTAAATTTCTGTTGTTAAATTCCTGACCATAGTGGAAGCTTCCTGTTATCTCTTCTATGTGGTTCTGCTCCTGAGATTCTAACAAACAACAGAAGACATTGTAACTTTTGATGTGTACAGAGAATTTGGAGTAGGTTGAATCATATGTTGGGTACTCTGATGTTAGTATGATTGACTGGCCAGTTAGCTTTTTCATCTCCTTAACACTCTTTCGTGTCTTGCTTGCATCTGTTTGCACAACTGTTCTGAATCCACTTGTACAACTGGGGTAGACCATACCAAGAGATGTGGTGCTTGCCACCAGTTTGGCTGGCTTCAAGAAAGGGTTAGACCAATTATGAAGTCAAGGAATCCACAGCTATTAGCTTTGTTGACAGTGTAATTGCCTCTGAAGGCCATTCGATGGAAAACTAATATGCTTCTTTGGGCACTTGGTTGGCCATTGTGAGCCTAGACTGGAAAACTAGATGGATCAAGGGTCCAATCCAGCAGAACACTGCTCAGTTTTTTATTTACTGAATTATGATTAACAAACATTATCCTGCAACTAAATCACATAAAAAAATCTAAAAGGCAAATAAAAAGATAAGACCATAAAAAGCCTCACAAAACCCAGAGATCAGAAGCAGCAAAACACAAGCCAGTGGTTGGCTCATAAAGCTTTGTCAATATGATATTTGCAATATAGTAGACAGATTAGACTTGTGTGTGTGTGTGTTTGTGTGTGTTATCCTTTCTCAACCATGCTATTTCTGCCCTAAAATGAGAGTTTGCAGAATCATAGAATCATAGGGGTGGGTGAACCTTGGAGGTCTTCTAGTCAATCTGCTGCCCAAGGCAGGAGTCCTTATGTTATCTGGACAAATGAATGTCCTGTATTTTCTTCAAAACCAATGACAGGAGGAGCTCTCTTTAACATGCCTTTACCCATGCTATACATAAATAAAATAACAAATATTTAACATTTTTTGAAGTGTTTCCAAAATTGATTGTGATAAAACCTTTGAAGCCATCTCCTGAAAATCGGCACAATATATATTTGGTAAGGTATTGGTTTAAGACTAGAAAGACCATAAACATCCATGGCTATGCATTTGCTTAAATCTGCAAGATGGCAGATTAAAAACTCTTGATGCAAGATGAACATGCATGCAGCATCAATACATGTACAAAAATAACAGGACCAGCATCATGAAATTTGGTCTACCATCTTGCCATTCTTGACCCAGTACAGACATTCTGAAAGATACCCTGATTCCAATCCACCCTTATATGTGAAAAGTCAGTGGGTATCTTAGCCCAACTTACCTTACACCATTAGCCCTTAGACTTATATAGCACCTCATAGTGCGATTCAGCACTCACTGAGCAGTTTTCAATGTCAGCATATTGCCCACAATAATTTAGGTCCTCATTTTGCCGACCTTGGAAGGATGGAAGGCTGAGGCAACCTGGAGCTCTGTCAGGATCGAACTCCAGGATATGGGCAGAATTAACCTGCAAAACTGCATTCTAACCACTGTGCTCTAGGGCATTTTATGAGGTGCTTTCTATGGGGAAATATGACATTTTAGCTACCTTCCATTCACAGAAGAGAGGAGGAATATAAATGTAACAAATTATTATTACCATCTATCAAATGATATTCATATTTGTGGCTGTTATGATTAAAAAGAATGTACTGCACCAATGATATCACTTACATTTCCTATGTGTTGTTCTTTAGTCCAGTAAACATTAAAACGAAAGCAGGAATGTTTTTCACATGTCTTATATCTGTCCTTCTACATTCTGGCTACATTTTAGAATTCAGGACAAAATATGCATATATTTTGCATGTTTGTAAATTATATACCTATTATGAGATATGATGTACTTGTATACTGTATATCTGTAAGAGTAGAAGTGTAAGTGATACATGTTTAAAGGCATCTGCCAGGCAGGCAGGCAGTCACACCCTTCTGCAGGCAATCCCATTCCTCTCTATCTGTTCTTGTTTTCTTACAATTTAATACCCTATGATTACTATATTGGGCTGGTATTTTGTTAATAAACACTTTCAAATATTCAAAGTATATTTATGCATTTTCAGTTGCCATGATCCCAATTTAGCTCCAACTAAATTTGCTATTGCTGAAAATGATGTTTTTCCAAGCTGATACATGTTTTGAAGAAGTAAATCATTCTTTCAACATTTCATACTCTAGAAAAAAATTATTAATAGATATGAAAAGCTATAAATGATACTCTTAATTAGTTGGTTAGCTGTATTGTGAACTTGTTTATCATCCAAGAACAAAATTGTCATTATGGATTATGAGGTTAATATTTACTCAGGCGCCCCAGTTGGTATTTAACCTGAAGATTTCCCTTGATGTAATGTTGTGACATTATTATTGTCAGATCCATGGCGAGCTGTTAATCCCATTTTGCAGGTTTAATATTAATAGTGGAAGGTAAATTTTGTTTGGCTACTCTTACTGAGTTATGTCAGATTAGCTGGAAAATGCCTGAAATTAAAATGTAACTCAACAGCTACTGGTGCAAACAAGAACACAGAACAATAAAATCTAACCGTATGTAAAATTCAATCCCTAGAGTAACCTAGGTTGCTTTGTTTATTTATCAAATTTATAAAAAAGTGACTCTAGACATGCAAAAAACAGTAAATAAGTAAGGCAACTATTATTTTAAACCATTACATAATAATTATTAAAATAATAAAAAACATACAAAGCAAAACTAAAATGGGAAAAGGGAATAACTACATGGAAGAAAGTTAATAATAAGGGAACCACTTCACAAGTTCCCCTTCGCCTAGGGTCCCCAGATCTACTGGTATAACCAGGTCTTGACAGATGTTCAAAAGCTCGGTAGTAATGAGGCCAATCTTATTTCTGGGGATGGGGGGAGAGAAGATTTCTTAATACTGGTGGTACAGCAGAAAAAGCCTGTTGTATAGGAGCTAATAAATTTAGCTGTTTTTGTTGGAAGCTATAATTTACCTATTCTATGAAACTTGGTGGGAGGAGTGGATGGGATCAGGGAAAAGCGGTCCCTCAAATAACCTGGTCCCAGGCCATGTAGGGCTTTAAACCAACGTGAATTGTATAGTCTTCTTTTTACCCTTCCATGTCTGCTAGATTTTGTCTACTTTCCAGAATAAATCTATTTATTACCTTGACATGTACAAAACATATGCTTCTGATTTCTAATGAACTATGAAACCGCAACATCAAAGTCGGGATGGTTTCCTAAAATGACAATGATTGCAGCAGAACATGAATTAGATAGAAAGATGCAAATGTTATCAGTTTCATTTTCATACTTAATCAGATGGTAAATGCCCTTTGTACTGTTCAAACTACAGATGAAACCTCCTGTGCCTGCAAATAACTAAATGAGAAAAGATGCCATCAATAGAGAAAAATAGCACGTCAAAGGACGAAATGCAAAACCCAGCTCTTTCTTTGGTCAGAGGCATGTAAAATTCAATCATGGAAACCCTCTATCTCAGGTATGTCAAACTCAAGGCCCACAGGCCAAATTGGGCCATGGTGTGCTTAGATCTGGCCTGCGGGGCCGCCCTGGAAACATTAAAGGAGTGGCATGCTGAACCTCTGCCAGCAAAAATGGAGCTCGGCACCCCGAGCTCCATTTTTGTTGGCAGAAAGCTGCAGCAGGCCATTGCAGTCAAAAATGAACTCAGGAGGGATGCGCTCTGAGCTCCATTTTTGCTGGCAGAGGGCTGCAGGATATGGATATTGAGTTGGCCATGCCTCCCTAGCTACACACCCCGCCCCACAGAGGTCAAACACAACTCTGATGCATCCCTCAATGAAACTGAATTTGACATCCCTGCTCTACTTGAGCAGGTTGACTTGTTTAGTTTATAGGAAGATGTATACTTCAGTAACAATTAAGCTTGATTTGGCTATTTTATCCTATTATCATGTCCTGTGCATTTATCCTATGTTGTACCTTATATTCTTTCTACTATATAAATTTATTGGGCAAGGAAAAAGTAGCTGACTTACAACTAGCTGATCTAGTTATCCAACTACTGCCTGATCAAGTGGACGCTTGAGCCAAATGCTTAGAATTCCAATCCAATGCTCTATAACCACTATGCAACTTTAGCAGGCTACATCTAAATTAAGCATACAAATTAAATCAGGTGACAAGTGTAATAGAAAATTTGGAAAATATTTTGACATTGTCATGGAACAAAAAGGCAGGATATGAAAGTATAGGACAATGTATTTGGGAGCAGAGAACTGAGGATAGAATTATCCTTCTATCAATTCTGTATTCTAAATCTTAGTTCCAAAATTTAATTTTTCTTAAGATCAAGAGAGGGATAGATAGCCTTTTGGATCTTATGAGTTGTTATATGTAGTGTGTTTTGATCTAAGGTATAGAAAAAAGTTATATGCATTTCTGTTAGCATTGAGAGCAACTAAGCCTGAGTATCTTTTTGTCAATGGAAAAATTTCCCAGAGGATTTCAACTGGTTTATCTGGATCTTCCACAAGTGATCATGCCCAACAATCTCTACAGTTTCAAAGCTTCTAAACTTATCACAGACCATTAATTTGTTAACTTTTGACTCAACCAAATTTAGATTTTTTTGGCAATTCATTTTCTTATATATGAGTTTCAATATCAGAGGCTTTTTATCATAATTGTTGAAGAGCATCTATAGGGGGAGGCTAATTCATACATCTCTGGCTGATATATTTCTCATAGATATTTGGCCAAGTGCTGCAGGAATATAGTACTGGACATCCTAGGCCTTTGGTCAGTTCCAGCATGGTTTTTCCCCCTTAAATGTTCATTGTATAACAGGCTGACCAATCCAATGCAGTTACTCAATGTGCTAAAGTAATGTTTAACCTTAATAAAGTTTCTCAGATAAAAAGGGTGTGAACTCTTGGATCTTTCCTTTTTTCAATCTTTATTAGCAAAAGCCTTGACTATTTCTTTGACCAGGAAGACATTATATGAAAAGCAATTGTTTTTTTTAACCATCTCTGCACCATGACTTTGGAGTGAAGTCTGAAGTTAATATCAATTGGACCCTGGATTATATTTGCCTTTTGGAAAATCGAATTGCTAAACTCATGGCACTGTAGATTTGTTCTCCCTCTTGGAAGTCTTTCTTTAAACAGTCAAAAGAATTGCTCAAACTGACAAGAAGCCAGCCAATTACCACCATGGGCAAGTTCATCCCACCAGTGGTGGAAAGTTTTGTCGTTTGGGACTATTTGGTCTTTGCTGCCCTTTTTCTGGTCTCTTCTGGCATTGGGATCTTTTTTGCAATTAAGGAGCGGAAAAAAGCAAGCTCTGGGGATTTCTTGGTTGGTGGTAGGCAGATGACCTGTGGACCAGTGGCTCTGTCCCTCACTGCGAGTTTCATGTCAGCCGTCACTGTGCTGGGAACCCCAGCTGAGGTCTATCGCCATGGAGCCTCTTTCCTTCTGTTTGCCATAGCATATACTTTTGTCATCATTTCTACCTCAGAACTTTTTCTACCTGTTTTCTACAGATCTGGGATCACAAGCACTTATGAGGTAAGTTCCCTTTTCTAGAAAGTGAGTCTTGCTCCAGATCCTGGACCACATTCCATTTGGCCATCTAAGACATCTTGGCATTACCTTTGTTGAGATAAGAGACACCTGACATGATATCGTCTCTTCTGCAAACTTGCCATTTTGGGAAGAGCAATCACAATATATCTAAAAGGTAGCAAGATGCAGAGGAACCTACATTAATATGGAGACAGAAAATGAGTTAAAATCTACAAATCTACAATGAATTTGTATATAAATTAGATAATAGCAGGCATGCTTTTGTTTCTAAAGGACAGACTATTTAACTGAAAGAGACCATTATGACCAACTTTTACAAATGTATTATTTCCTACAATTATCTGTAGATTGCAAAGATAGAGAATAATTCTCACTAAACTGTTAGAACATTGTCAAATATCTTCAGTAACATGAAATAATTAATTTTTTGAAATAGAAAAGAAGAGGTGTAATGATATGCTGACAAAAACCTGCTCTTCCCATATTTCAGTATTAAAAATAAGGATTCTGTTTCATACAATCACTTATCTCATCTTAGTGTGAGTGTATGTAGTGAGGGAGAGGGAGAGAGAGGGAGGGAGAAAGGAAGGGAGGGAAGGGGAGAGAAAGAGGGAGGGAGGGGGAGAGAGAGCGGGAGAGGGAGAGGGAGGGAGGGAGAGAGAGAGACCAGGGAAGTTAGACAGACAGATAAAAATCAATGTTTAAAAATCCATTTTTCTTCTCACATTTCCCATCATTGTAGTATTTTATTCATTACATAGATTCAAAGAATGTTTGATTCCAACTAACTCAGAATGATTTGCATATTAAAAAGTCAGAATAATGAAATGGAGAAACAAATTAAACTTGTCCAGAATATGTATATGAACTAAATTCAAGGAACTGTAGCAAATAGTAATTTATAGATTATAGTATCCCATCTCAGTAATAAGACAGGCTGTTTCTGGGACAATGGATTTTCTCCTAATGTTACATTCACAATTTAATTGTTTGATTAATAATTTAATAGGGGAATACTTAATAAAGGATTACTTAACTAACCTCCCATTAGAAACCATTGAGAATCCAATTATCTCATAAATGGAACCACTCAACCCTCATATAGAGATGTAAAATTATAGTGTCTGACTTGCCAAAAGAACTGAAATATTTCAGGATGAGAAAATACACTCCGGTGTTTTGAAATGTAATTATAGAACACTCTGCAGGTTTCTGTAATGTTGACAACACTTTTTGGTTGGAGGTGTAGTTTATAACCCATTGAACAATTTAGGCAGATATCCACACAGATCCAAGTTTTAATATTGAAAGATGAAGACTTCTGTGAGATTTAAGTTATCTTATAAATGCTTGACATTTCTGGAGAGCTTCCTGGAGTCCATTCTTGAACCCGCGTGTGTAATGTTGCTGACCATTGCTGCAAGTAAAATAAAGTTATGGGCCCTATCAATCCCATGTCTTCATTCCAGGATGTAGGACAAGTTACAAGTAGTCCTCAACTTACAACAGTTCATTTAGTGACTGTTTGAAGTTACAATGGCATTGGAAAAAATGACTTATGACCATTTTTCATACTTATGACCACTGCAGCACCCCCATGGTCACTTGACCAAAATTCAGACGTTTGACTCATATTTATGACTGTTGCAGTGTCCTGGGGTTATGTGATCACCTTTTGCGACCTTCTGACAAGCAAAGTCCATGGGGAAACCAGATTCACTTAACAACCATGTAACTCTTAACTACTGCAGTGATTCACTTAACAACTGTGGCAAGAAAGATCATAAATTGGGGCAACTGTCTCACTAAATCAAGGACCACCTATACTAATTGAACTTCCAATTCGACTTAGAATAACTTTATTGACATTTTAAATGTACACTAATCAGCATACATTAAAATGAAATTTCATTGCATACATCTTTCAAAGGGTCACCACCTCCAATATACACTACATAAACATTATAAAACAAACAAGCAAGCAAAAATTATGCATATACATATACACACATATATACACAAACAATTGCTGGTATTGTCTATGGGAAGATCATTTCACAGTCATTACTGGAACTATTTCTTGAATAAAATGTAATGCAGGGGATGATAAAGCAACAGATATTTTTATTTACTGTACCCATCCCTTCCCCTAGTACCTGGAGTTAAGATTTAACAAGCCTGTTCGCATGGCAGCAACCCTGATTTACATACTGCAAACGGTAAGACATTTTCTTCATTTGCATGAAAAATGTGATTTAAAAATATTTTGGCATTAGTCCAAAGAATAGATAGATCTTTTGTTCAAAATCAGTTTCATTTTCTCCTACAACACAGTGAATATTATAGAGGATATCTATATACGTAGTGTTTTGAAAATTAAAGAGTGATAAAATTCTGGACATAGAAGAATCTAGAGCGGTTCCACCACAAAAGCGCGTAGGACAAAATCGCGCTCGACAAAAGCGCGCTGTGACGTCATCACAGCGCGACGAAAAAGATCGAAAAATTGTAAAAATAAAGTGAAAACCTTACCCTAAGCCCCCCAAACCTAACCCTAAACCTAACCCTAAACCTAACCGTTAAAGTAACGAAAAACCTAACGCTAACCCTTATCCTAACCCTAACGCTAACGCTAACGCTCTAAAGCTAACCCTAACCCTTAACCTAACCCTAACCCTAACCCTAACCCTAACCCTTACCTTTATGTGAATCGGCTTGCTTTAATTTAATTTTTATTAATTTTTATTTGAATTTTTCGATCTTTTTCGTTGCGCTGTGATGACGTCAAAGGCGCGATTTTGTCGATCGCGCTTTTGCCGTCCGCGCTTTTGACGGGTCACGTCTAGAGCACATTGATTTGTCATAGCATCAAATTCGACATTTAAAGATGGAAGAGTATAATCTTTCTAGATTTTTATCATCCCATTAACTAACATTTAATAGGGGCAGCGTGATGACTCAGTGGTAAAGATGCTGTGCTTGTCAGCTGGAATGATGACTCCCATTCTTGCTCACGTTCATCCCCACCTAGCAGTTCAAAAGCATGCAAGTGCGATTAGATAAATAAGTACCACTTTGGCAGGAAGGTAACAGCACTCCATTATGTCATGCTGGCCACATGACCATGGAAATTTCTTTCGGCAACACTGACTGAATGGCCTTGAAACAGAAATGAGCACTGCTCCCTATAGTTGGCAATGACTAGCGGAGTAAAATCCGTAGGGATCCCTTTACCTTTTTTAAAATTAACTAACATTTACAATGAATCTAGACCACGGGTATCAAACACAAGGTCAGATCCAGCCCTTGATGTGATTGGATAGGCCCACAGGGCAGTACTGTAAAATGTAAGGGGCAGCTCATTTCGCTTCCAGCCGGTCTATCCAATCCGAAGTGGAAACATTGGGCCAGCATGGCTTTGGCCCAATCTACCCAATGCAAAGAGGAAACATGCCAGCAGTTTGAGCAGTTGCTGTGCTCACCCAGTCAGCCACACCCACCCCATAGGCCACCCTCATCCACCACCGAGATCACTCCTGATCTAGACTCTTTCTGGACTGCATAACATTCTGCATTCAAGAGAAATGTAGAACAGGTTTCAACATAGATTGTGGGACTGTAAAAAGATGCACGTTTTTCCAGATTAATCCCTGCTGCAAACATTTTAGCTACCATTTATGTTGTACTTTAGAATATAGTAAATAGTGTAATCTATACAGAAGATTATAGAACAGATTCATGTCAGGGCTTTAGGAGTCATCAATGGTTTGTCTTGAACTAGTTTGTACCACATACTTCCATGCTCCAGGGATGCAGTGCAATCTGATTGGCCATTTCAGAGAGAATCTGTACTATTTTTAATTGATGCATTCACAGAACTTGTGAAGCCATCCATATAACTTTATTCAGAATGTGGAATGTTTAATAACTGTGAGATTTCGGTTTTCATGTTTCTAATAATAAGCCAGAGGTACGGTAGGTAAATATTTCTTTAAATGCGATTTGCTTCAGAGGAGTTAAGGAACATCTTTATTTGTACTTTGCAGATGATAAAGAGAAAATCCTTCCTCCAACATCTTAGGCAACCATATACCAAGAAATCATTTTCAGGAAACAGTGTTGTGTGGATCACAAATAGCCAATGGAAAGACGAGAGCTCTGTTGCTGTTTGAGATTGCTTTGTAAGCACTATAAGGTTAATTGGCTTTTCTTGATGGCAACTTCATGCATCTGCTTACTTAGGGGAATGTTTGTTCCCAGACGAATTCCACTCTCTAAATTAATTCCACATACTTAAAAAGCATCAGCAGTAGATTGGCACCTTTTAGAAATGGTTTAATTTGCAATTTTACGACATTCTGTAGAACTGCAAAAAAAGGTTGTCCACTAGGACTCCAAAGTTCCTCTCACAATTACCGTTTTTGAGCCAGGTTTTGCCTAGTAATCTGTACTTGTACCTTTGTTTTTTCTTATCTAAGTATAAACCCTTGCTTTTCTCCACATTAAATTTCATTTGGTTGGATTGTTCAAGTCTGTCAAGATCTTTTTGGATTCTGAGCTTGCGTTCCAGGGTGCTGGCTATTCCTATTAGCTTAATGTCATCTGCAAATTTGATAAGTTCTTCTATTCCCTCATTTAAATCATTTATGAAGATATTGAAGACTACAGGGCCTAGATTCATTGTAAATGTTAGTTAATTTTAAAAAA